CGGTCGCGGCGTCCCGGGGTCACGTGGTCCCCTTTGGCGAACGTCCGACGAGCAAAGTCAACGGGCAAGTCGGAGTCACTTAAGGACCCTCTGAATCACTTAACAACGGGGGGATTCACTTAATGTCTTTGGCAAGAAAGGTCATAAAAGGGGGCAAAATTCATCGAACAAATGTCTCACTTAAGAGCGGATTTTTTTTTATCTATAGTTTGCGGGAGTTTTCATCTGAAAGGGAGACAGAAAGAGAATAATTCTTGCTTCCCAATTTAGCCTTCAGCTGTGGATTTTTTGGTGTTTGCTGTTCAAGTTTAAACTGGTCCTGAAGGTTGATCAGGATTTACTACTTGTAAGATTTCCTACCCCCACCCCGACACCCCAATCTCCCCCACTTATGGAAAAAAATATGATTTGGCAGCAAGATTGTTCTGGAAAGAAGAGAAAACTGCACAATCTGACATTGGCTGCGTTCAGACAACACACACAGCCCTTCCAGAGAAAAATCTATGGTAGCAGCAGCATTTTCACTGATGTCAGTTTCGATCTTGGTTAGCTTTATGGAAATTTAGCCAGTCTGGTTAATCTGGGGATCAGACAGCTGAGCTGACCCTGAAAATGGGTTAATTCAGGAAATAGGCGGTTGTGTGAACACGGCCGTGATCTGAATGACTCGTGATGGGCACGATTTCGGTGCCTTTAGGAATCTGCTTGGGATAAGATTGGGCTGGCTATTGTGCGTTCCTGAAAAATGCAACGTTCTGTTTTGGTCAAGATTTGGGGGAAACACAGAAATAAATGTATTTATTTATTTATTTTATCCCTGCCTGTGTCCCTTCCTCCAATTTAATCTCAATGCAATTTGTAATTCCAATGCAAAAAGAGATTTTCTGAAGAGATCTTCTGCCAATTTTTTTTCTTACAGCTCTGTGCCCCATGCTTTTTTTTTTTTTTTTAGCCCCAAGAAACAAGAAGCCGAGATGAGTTAATGGGAGCCAGGATGGATTTAGATGCATCCTGGAGCTTTCTGATGGTGTCAGGAGATGAAAAGAAGCAGGAGAATCTTTTGAGAATATGTCAACCTTCATCCTCCCCCCCCCCCCACACACACACGTCTGTCTCTAAAAACAAGTGTGCCTAAAACAGATGCTTTGATTCTGCTCACTTGAGCCTGCATTGTGAAATGTAGGCATAATTGCCACATTTTTCTTGATCAAAGTAAAATCAGCCCTGCTCTTTAGGATGTGAAGAAAGAAAAAGAAAAAGAAAGAGAGAGAGAGAGAGTGAGAGAGAGAGAGAGAGAGAGAGAGAGAGAGAGAGAGAGAGAAATGAGAAAAAAAAGAAAAAAAAAGAAAGAAAGGGGAAGGAAGGTTGGAAAGAAAGAGAGAGAAAGAGATGAGAAAACAAAAGAAAGAAAGGGAGGGAGGAAACAGAAATAAAGAAGGAAGAAAATAAGGAAGGGAAAGAAAGAAAGAAAGAAAAAGAAGGAAAGAAAGGAAATCAGAAAAGAGAGAGAAAGAGAGAAAAAGAAAGAAAATCAGGAAGAGAAAGAAAGAAACAGAAAGAAAGAAAGGAAATCAGGAAGAGAAAGAGAGAGAGAAAGAGAAAGAAAAAGAAAGAAAGAAAGAAAAAAGAAAGAAAGAAAGAAAGAAAGAAAGAAAGAAAGAAAGAAAGAGGAAATCAGGAAGAGAAAGAAAAAGAGAAAGAAAGAAAGAAAGAAAGAAAGAAAGAAAGAAAGAAAGAAAGAAAGAAAGAGGAAATCAGGAAGAGAAAGAAAGAGAGAAATAAAGAAAAAGAAAGAAAAAGGAAAGAAAGAAAGGAAATCAGGAAGAGAAAGAAAGTGAGAGAGAGAGAGAAAGAAAGAAAAAAAGAAAGAAGAAAGAAAAAAAGAAAGAAAGAAGAAAGAAAAAAAGAGATGCAAATACTAAATCAGGCTGGCCCTGATTTGATTTCATTACAGACAGACTTAAAATAAAGGCTCTTAATCAACATCAGACACCCTCCCCATCTCAATGCAACAGGAGGAAAGGTAGTCTAATGCTTATTTTCCGCTTCCCGGCTCCAGAGAAGGAGCTGGAATCAGGCAGAAGATCCTGGAAAGGAAAGCAGGAAACGGAAATACAGGTTGCAAAGAAATCAGCAAAGATGAGCTTGCAGGTAGGATGGGAGGAAAGAGGCACCCCGGGTGTTGAAGGAGGTGAAAATGAGGCCCTTTTACAATGTTTTCCAACCTGCCATCCGGAAAAAAAAACACCTTAATTAGCCAAGAATTGTTTTCTTTCTCCCCGAAGCGGAATGAACCCGGCTTCGTGTCCCCAAGGCGCATGGCAGGTAACGCACAGAAGTGTGCAGTTGTGCTCCCTTCTTACGCAGCCGGGGCCCTGGGAATCCAGCGGTGTCCATCCGTGCTGGGGAGGCAGAGCCCCTCCCGGGTGGACCCAGAGGGAAAAGGCACCTCGGGAGATCCGTCCAGAAGTAGTGAGAAAAAATGGGATTAATTGCATTTCTTCGGCTTTCAAATCTGGGGCCGTAGACGCTTTCCTCCGGTCCGTCAGTTGCAGTATGGTGCCTTCAAAGATGCATCTTAAGGCCTTGACTCCCATGCGAACACTACACTATCGCCTTGACCTCGCCTTACAACTGTTCATTTAGCGACCGAAGTTACAAAGGCACCGGAAAAAAAGCCACTTGGGATCGTTTTTCACGCTTTACAACCCTTGCGGTTACGTGATCAAAATGCTGACCAGCTTGGCAACTGACTCACAATTCGGACGGTCGCAGAGTCCCGAGGTTCACGCGATCCCCTTTTGCAACCTTCTGACCAAGCAGGAAGCCAGATTCGCTTAACGACCGTGTCATTAACTTAACGACTGCAATGATTCACTTAGGAACTGGGGGCGAGAAAAGTTGTAAAATGGGGCGAAGCTCACTTCGCAAGTGTCTCGCTTAGCAACATGAATTTTGGGCTCCGTTGTAAGTCAAGGACAATATTAACAACAATAATAGTAATAGTAATAATAATAATAATAAAGTTGGAAGGGACCTTGAAGGTCATCTAGTCCAACCCCCTGCTCAGGCAGGAAACCCTACACCATTTCAGACAAATGGCTGTCCAGATTAGGTTTTCTCCATTGAGTTTCAAAGTCGGGGGGGAGGTAAACTAGGAACCCCCAAGGGAGGGGTGTTTTTCAGCTTACATGCCCCCCTCCCCAGTCAGCAGCTGGCCTGTCTCAACACATCTGTGGGGGTCACCCAGCCAATGCCCATTTTGAGGAAAGATCAGAGGTTAAAAGTCTCCCCAAGGCTGAATGATGGGAACATCGGCTTGATGCCATTTGAGGATTGATGAAGGCAGACTGCTTTGAAGTAGTGTGTGTGTGTGTGTGTGTGTGTGTGTGTGTCTGTGTCTGTGTCTCTCTCTGTGTGTGTATTGTGTGTGTGTATATGCAGACACACACACAGAATTCAACCTGGGCTACTTTCAAGTCAGATCTATATCTCTGAATATCCGTTTTCCAGTTAGTCTTTGGGTTACGACCGCATTGAGCCCAAATTTTATTAAGTTATTTTTATTCAGAAAGATAGAATAGAAATTCCAGCCCCGCCCCCTAAAAATTAAGAAGCAAAAAAAAAGAAAGAAAGCCAAAATACACAAAACATGAAAACAAAAATGTTTGCGTTGAAAAGGGAAAAAGACAACAATGAATATACCGTGTTTTCTCCAAAATAAGCCTGGATTCTATATTAATTTTTGCTCCAAAAGATCCATTAGGGTTCATTTTCTGATTAGGTCTTATTTTACCCTAATCCTAATCCTTCACTACCCCCCCCCAGGAAACCCACAATGCTGGGGCTTATTTTGGGGGTAGGGATTATATTATGAGCATCCTGAAAAAAAATCATGCTGGGGTTTATTTCCCGGTGGGGTCTTATATTGGGGGAAACATGGTACATAAATTATTTCCCGGTTGATTACCGATAAATATATTAGTTTCCCCGCCTTGCGAAGCAGGTCCACAATTTACAGGGAGTCCTCTACTTACCACTGTTTGCTTAGTGACCGTTCCAAGTTACAACGGCACCGGAAAAAGTGACTTATGGCTGTTTTTCACCCTTACAACCGTTGCAGCATCCCCCAGGGTCATGTGATTTATATTCGGATGCTGGACAGCTGATTCATATTTATGACGGTTTGCAGTGTCACGGGGTCACGTGATTCCCCCTTTTGTGACCTTCCGGATTCGCTTAACGACCGTGTGACTAAATTAACCACTGCAGAGGTTCTCTTCACAAATGTGCAAGAAAAGTCGTAAAAGTTAAGTTTGTTAAGTTTTTCACTTAACAAATGTCTCACTTAGCAACATAAATTCTGGACTCGATTGTTGTGGTCGTAAGTGGAGGACTCCCTGTATAAACTTCTCCATCTATTTACAACTAATTTGGCCTGTTCTCTGTCCACTATATGCAAAAATAAACTGGTTAATTGCTAAGCGAGACATTTGTTGAGTGAATTTTGCCCCATTTTACGACCTTCCCTGTACAGTCGTTAAGCGGGTCACTGCAGTTGTTAAGTTGTTAACACGGTTGTTAAGTGAATCTGGCTTCCCCATTGACTTTATTTGCCAGAAGGTCGTAAAAGGAGATCACGTGACCTGGGACACTGCAACCGTCATAAGTACATGCCAGTTGCCAAATGTCCAGATTTTGATCATGTGACCACGGGGATGCTGCAGTGGTCGTAAGTGTGAAAAACGTTTCTTCAGTGCCGTTGTAACTTTCACTGGTCACTAAACGAACGGTTATAAATCGAGGACGACCTGTATCTTCGCTGGGTTCTTGATAACAAAAATGTTTTATTAGGCACCTTCCAATAAAAAAGTACGTGTGTGTGTGTGTGTGTGTGTGTGTGTGTGTGTGTGTTTGTGTGTGTGTACAAGCCCTGGTCTCTCTTTCACACCATACAACCAGCATGATGTCTGTGTGTTTTTTTTTCTCTCCCATTTCAGACCAGACATGTCATTCCGGTTCTTTACGTGCAACGCAAGACCATCCGGCACAGATGGATGCTCGCCCTGAAGGAGCCCAACGATGGAGGCCGTGCAGGTCTTCTCCACGGGAGACTTGTCTGGGGCCAGCCCTTCGCGGAGAGTCCTCGGGGGGGTCTCTCCCTCTTGCGGTCTTTGGCAATGGTAGAACTCACACTGGTGAGCTATCTGGTTCCGGTGGTTCTAGACTTGCCAACTACCGCCTGGGGGGGGTCAAGCTGAGTCACTGGTATCTCTCTTTCCCTCTGGACCACTGAGGGGAGGGGGAGCTGATGGTCAAGCTTCAAGGATGACTGAACAGCCAACCAGCATCTCATCTCCTGAGTCAGTGGCTGGAGCAGGTACAGCCAGATGTGGAAAAAAAAAAAACCATTTCTCTACCTGGTCGAAGTCACAGGGTGAATTCTACATTTCCCTTGGTTTTCCGGCTAGGAGCTTGGCTTCCGAAGAAGAAAATGCTTTCCTATGCCAAATAGTAACTTCTGTTCCCTTCCACGAGGACTAGAAACTTGGTTTTCTGGGGTTTTTTTCTTTTTAAAAAAATTCAACATCAAAAGTTGCCTTCCTAGGAATTCTGTGTAAGGGAGCTCTAGAATTGAGGCTTTTGTTTTGAAAAAGTAGAAAATAGAACAGAATAGAATATAGGATAAGATAGGATAAGGAATGGAATAGAATAAAGAATGGAATAGAATAAGGAATAGAATAGAATAGAGTAGAGTAGAGTAGAGTAGAGTAGAGTAGAGTAGAGTAGAGTAGAGTAGAGTAGAATAGAATAGAATAGAATAGAAAATATGGAATGGGATATAGAATAGAATAGAATAGAATAGAATAAGAAAAATATAGAATAGAATAGAATAGAATAGAATAGAATAGAATAGAATAGAATAGAATAGAATAGAATAGAATTAATAATAGAGTAGAATAGAATAGAATTAATAATAGAGTAGAGTAGAATAGAATAGAATAGAATAGAATAGAATAGAATAGAATAGAATAGAATAGAATAGAATAGAATAGAAAATAGGGGATAGAATAGAATAGAATAGAATAACGAATGGAATGGAATAGAATAGAATAGAATAGAATAGAATAGAATAGAATAGAATAGAATAGAATAGAATAGAATTAATAATAGAGTAGAGTAGAATCGAATAGAATAGAATAGAAGGAGAATAGAATAAAAGGAGAATAGAATAGAATAGAATAGAATAGAATAGAATAGAATAGAAAATAGGGGATAGAATAGAATAGAATAGAATAAGGAATAGAATAGAATAACGAATGGAATGGAATAGAATAGAATAGAATAGAATAGAATAGAATAGAAGCGATTCACTTAACAACTGTGGCGAGAAAGGTCATAAAATGGGGCAGAACTCACTTAACAGCTGTTTCACTTAGCAACTGAAAATTTGGGCTCAATTCTGGTCATACGTTGAGCACTACTTGAATTTTTAAAACATATTTGGACTTAACTCTCCGGCATAGCTGGCTGGGGGAATTCTGGGTGTTGAAGTCCCCCCCCCCGGTTAAAATGGCCAACTCTGCCAAACACCTTCCCAGGTAAGTCCACAGACTCCCCCTCCCCAACCTGAACAGGGGGGGCTTCAGCTGGAAATAAACCCACATGGATCCCCAACCTTGCTTCAAAATGCTTTTCTGCAAAAATTCAAAGCTATTCATGGACAGAAATCTCAGCACTATACCTGCGCACACACACACAACACCCCTTAGTCGTAACTTGCCATCGCTGGCATCCTTAGACCCCCCCCAACCTATAGATAGTCCTCGGCTTACGGCCACAATGGAGTCCAAAATTTATGTTGCTAAGAGAGACATTTGTTCAGTAATTTTTCCCCGTTTTGCGCCCTTCCTTGTCACAGTTGTTAAATGAATTGCAGGGGTTAAATTACTAAATTGTGAGGTAACTCTGGCTTCCCCCATTGGCTTTGCTTGTCAGAAGATCACAAAAGGGGGATCTCCCCCCCCCGAACACTGCGACCGTCATAAATATGAGTCAGCTGCCAAATGTCTGAACTGTGATCCATGTGACCTCGAGGACCCTGCAACGGTCATTAGTATGAAAACTAGTCATAAGTCACCTTCCCAACAGGCTTCTTCCTCTCTCTCTTTCCTCTCTCTCTCTCTCTCTCTCTCCTTCCTTCCTTCCTTCCTTCCCTCTCTTTCCATCCATCCATCCATCTTTCCCTCCTTCCATCCTTTTTCTCCTTCCTTCCTTTCTCTCTCTCTCCTTCCTCTCCTTCCATCCATCCATCCATCTTTCCCTCCTTCCGTCCTTTTTCTCCTTCCTTCCTTTCTCTCTCTCTCCTTCCTCTCCTTCCATCCATCCATTCACCCCTCCTTCCTCTCTATCCTTTTTCTCTTCCTTCCTCTCTCCTCACTCTCCATCCTTCCTTCCTTGCTTCCCTCCCTCCCTCCTTCCTTCCTTCCTTCCCTCCCTTCTCTTCCTACCTTCCTTCTCCCTCCCTCCCTCCTTCCTTCCTTCCTTCCTTCCTTCCTTCCTTCCTTCCTTCCTTCCTTCCTTCCTTCCTTCCTCTCCATCCATCCATCCATCCATCATCCATTCATCCCTCCTTCCTTTCTTCTTCCTCTCCTTCCATCCATTCACCCCTCCTTCCTCTCTTCCCTCTCCCTCCCTCCCTCCCTCCCTCCCTCCCCCCCAGGAATCATGGATGCTGGCTTAGAGAACTGCCTGATGGATTTTCCTGTCAGCCCCCACCCATCCACCCAGCCCCTGCCCTCTCTGACCACCTTGGCCCTCCCCACCTCCACCTGCCCCCTTCCTTTCCACCTCCTCCCCCCTCTCCCCCCCATCCCGGGTGAGGAGCTAATGCGATTCCCTGTTTGTCCCCAGCAAGCCGGCTGTGGGAGCGAAATCTAGGCCAGGCTGCTGGCGTATTGGAAATAAAGCTCTGCGGATATCACATAAGGCTGGGATTAGGGCTCTCTGCATTTACCAATCAGGTCAGATGCCCAGCAGGCACAAGGCTGGGGGGGTGGGAGAGAGGCTGAGATTTGGGAGGGGAAGATCCCCCCAGCCCCCTTCTGCCCTTGTCCCTGGCAGGTATTTTTTTTAATCCAGAGATCCTAGTGTGGTTTTCCCTAAACTGATAAATCTTTTATTATTATTATTATTATTATTATTATTATTATTATTATTATTGTTATTGATCATCGCACAGTCAGCTAGATGTTCAGACTGGATTTGGCCCTTTTGTCTACCTATTGAGTCCTTACCAAGGACCTGGGATAGGCAGATGTGGATGTTTGATAGTATTACATATTATTATTGTTATTATTATTATTATTGATCATCACACAGTCAGCCAGATGTTCAGACTGGATTTTGCATTTTTGTCTACCTATTGAGTCCTTACCAAGGACCTGGGATAGGCAGATGTGGATGTTTGATAGTATTACATATTATTATTGTTATTATTATTATTATTGATCATCACACAGTCAGCCAGATGTTCAGACTGGATTTTGCATTTTTGTCTACCTATTGAGTCCTTACCAAGGACCTGGGATAGGCAGATGTGGATGTTTGATAGTATTACATACTATTATTATTATTATTATTATTATTATTATTATTATTATTGATCATCGCACAGTCAGCCAGGTGTTCAGACTGGAGTTGTCATTTTTGTCTACCTATCGAACCTGGGATAGGCAGATGTGGATGTTTGATGGTATTACATATTATTATTATTGTTGTTGTTGTTATTTATAAAACCTTAGACTCCAAAAAAAGGGGGGGGGGAAGAGAAATACAAAAGCAGAATAAAAGTAGACATCATACACACACACACACAAACACACAGACACAGACACATACACACACACACACACCCAAAATCTCTTTGAATTAATACATTATTAATTTTGTTTTCCTGAATGGACAGATCTGATGTGCAGCAGAAACACCCAAGCCCTGTTCAGGGCAGAGCAGAGCAGAGCCGTCAAAACCCACCTAAATAATATTAAAAATATTCTGGAGTGGTCCTTGGCACTCTGGGCTGAGTTAATTGCTTCTGAAATGATCTCCTTAAGGGAAGGGCTGAGCCGGCCAGGTGCCGACTTGCACGAAGGTCATTACCAATATTTAAAGATGCTCTGATGCTTAATTTGATCCTCCTGGCAGCCTTTGCACAAAACCCTAAGCGCATTTCATTTAACCTTGGATAAGGGTGAGGGGACAGCGGTGGTGGGTGGCTTAGCCTATCACGTAGACTCTATTCTATTCTATTCTATTCTATTCTATTCTATTCTATTCTATTCTATTCTATTCCTATTCTATTCTTTTCTATTCTATTCTACTCTATTATTAATTCTATTCTATTCTATTCTATTCTATTCTATTCTATTCTATTCTATTCCATTCCATTCTACTCTATTATTAATTCTATTCTATTCTATTCTATTCTATTCTATTCTATTCCATTCTACTCTATTATTAATTCTATTCTGTTCTATTCTATTCTACTCTATTATTAATTCTATTCTATTCTATTCTATTCTATTCTATTCTATTCTACTCTATTATTAATTCCATTCTGTTCTACTCTACTCTATTATTAATTCTATTCTATTCTATTCTATTCTATTCCATTCTATTCTATTCCATTCCATTCCATTCTACTCTATTATTAATTCTATTCTGTTCTATTCTACTCTATTATTAATTCTATTCTATTCTATTCCATTCTATTCTATTCCATTCCATTCCATTCTACTCTATTATTAATTCTATTCTGTTCTATTCTACCCTATTATTAATTCTATTCTATTCTATTCTATTCTATTCTATTCTATTCTATTCTATTCTACTCTATTATTAATTCCATTCTGTTCTACTCTACTCTATTATTAATTCTATTCTATTCTATTAATTCTATTCTGCTATTCTATTCTACTGTACTCTATTATTAATTCTATTCTATTCTATTCTATTCTATTCTATTCTATTCTATTCTATTCTATTCCATTCCATTCCATTCTACTCTATTATTAATTCTATTCTGTTCTGTTCTATTCTATTCTATTCTATTCTATTCCATTCCATTCCATTCTACTCTATTATTAATTCCATTCTGTTCTACTCTACTCTATTATTAATTCTATTCTATTCTATTAATTCTATTCTGCTATTCTATTCTACTGTACTCTATTATTAATTCTATTCTATTCCATTCCATTTCATTCCATTCCATTCCATTCCATTCTACTCTATTATTAATTCTATTCTGTTCTATTCTATTCTACTCTATTATTAATTCTATTCTATTCCATTCCATTCTACTCTATTATTAATTCTATTCTGTTCTATTCTATTCTACTCTATTATTAATTCTATTCTATTCTATTCTATTCTATTCTATTCTACTCTATTATTAATTCCATTCTGTTCTACTCTACTCTATTATTAATTCTATTCTATTCTATTAATTCTATTCTGCTATTCTATTCTACTGTACTCTATTATTAATTCTATTCTATTCTATTCTATTTTCTATTCTATTTTCTATTCTATTCTATTCTATTCTATTCTATTCTATTCTATTCTATTCTATTCTATTCTATTCTATTCTACTTTACTCTACTCTCTCATCCACTTTTACCACTGGATTTTTGCAGATGTCTAGCCCAAATGT